CGCGCTGAAGCGCAAAATGCCTTGAAGAGTTGCTTATTCATGGTGCATCATCACAGGCAACAAGATGCCCCAAAGACGCGGTGAGGGATGCAGAGCCACCGGAGACTCGGAAAAGCCAAATAAATAGGCTCCCATGGTCTTAATCGTGCTGGAAACATGAAGCGAAGAATCGAATTCCAAGCTGGGGGAGCGTGACAAAGAATCCTACACACCATCTTCAGTCCGCCTAAGCAAGGTGACCGCAACCTCCTAGACAGCATCCAAATTCAGGTACGCTGGTCTGAATCACGCCCCAACATTGATGAAGAAAATCATACTGAGAGTGGGAGGACGCGATCTAAATCCACACGCACCGCGGCCTAACTCCCCCGAAAACAAGGACAATTCCAGCACACTCCATTTTCCACCCGCCTAAGCATGGTCTCCGCAACCTCCGACGTAGCATCCTGATTCAGGCATGTTGCTCTGAATCATGCCCAAACACAGATGGTGAAAATTATATAGCGACCTGAATCTGCACAAAGCGCCGCCCAACTGTGTCGAGAACAACGGACTCCACTCGTTGAGAAGCCTCCTCTCGAAAGGAAACAATCAAATTCTTCCAGCTGAAGATCGGAATTGCAGCATCCGCTGTCGAAGGGTCAACGAAATTTAATTTAAAAAGACAGCGGAGCGTCCACTGAACAACTTATATTGATTCTGCCGTCGGTTCTAGGTCCCAGTTGTCTCACCCGAGCCGCATTGCTACCCAGCATATAGAGCGGCTGGCGACCGAGTCAACACTTCCACTGAATCTTATTGAATGTGAGAAAAAGATTACAGACATTAGTGTGTAAACACTCAGATTTTGTTGATTTTCCGTCGTGGGTCCTCTGATCTGCGATATTCCTCGCTGCAATATAGCAGTTTCGCGTCGATGGTGCACGAGCCCAGGGCCCCACGCAAGTCAATGTATTTGCACGAACGGACGGCTTTTGGACAAACGATATTGGAAGTGTCGATCCGCTTTTCCCTTCCGCAATTTGTTTGCTTGATCATTCAATTAAAAATGTTTCGACATTATTCGTCTAGTCTATCCGCGCAAGGAGGTGTCATGCGACTGCCACAGACAGGTCTCCACCATGCAACTTGCTCTACACGGCACGAATGAATGTCTCGATGTGCTTGACGACCACTTAAAGCTTATTTATTTTCCAATTCAGCTTGTACTCTGCAAAGATCCTTGCTCTACAGCCCGTCTCTCGGACACTCGACACACCTCTTGGAACCAATGGTCAGGACCGCGAAGTTCCTTCAATTCAGGCGAACCGATCATTCAGTTTTCAACTAGTTACTATGGGCAGTTTATCCATGGGCAGTTTATCCAACGCCTCTCAGAGCACCTGGAACTCACCGTAGTCTGCAGAGAAGATTTCGGGCAGCACAGTGAGTGTGCTAGGTAGTGACCCAGACCCTAGTCTGAAGCCCCAACTACAACAACGAATGGCCTAGAAGAAGGAAGGAACAAAGTGCGTGAAAAGGGCTGTGAGTCGTCAGCTCGGCGCGACAAGGAGAAGCCTGGAGTCCTACCTTCGCTGTTTTGCTTTGGTTGGCCCTGGGCGAGCTGTTTGAGAAAGTTTAGCTTTGTACCTTTTCGGTATCGCTAGCAGCACCAGCAGCAGCGTGCGGGCAGTCTGCTCTCTGGGGGATGGGGAGTTGCAGCAGCAGCGATACATGTCTCCCTATATTTCGCTAATATTTCCCTTGCCTTCTTTAACCCGCGTCGCGTGGCTGTTGCGCTGCTAGATAGGTAGCCATTGAGACTACAGCAATAAGGCTGCGAGTTCGCGTTTCTGAGTATGGGCTTCATGTGCGGACCTCTAGAGAACGAATTTCTCTCTCCGCTTCGGTACACGTAGCGGACCGACGCTGATGCTAAGGCAACCGAGAACCGAACTAAAACATCCAACTAGCGAACGACGCCAAACCAAATCAAGATAAAACATGACACAAGTGAAATGAAGTACTGAAAAAAAAACGAGGGCGCGGAAAGACCAGAGAGGGTCTGTCTCTGGCGCCTCCAAAATGCATAATGAGTCAAGACAGATAAATATAAGCAGAAAAACAGCTAAAGCAACTTGAGCTTATCTTTAACAAATGAGAGAGTGAGGGTGATGCTGCTTGATCTGCTCCCCTATCATGACCGGCTGCTGGCGGCCTCAACCCACTGCCGAATTATGTCTCCTAACACCGATGGCAGCTGACGGGTGTCTCTTACCACTGCATAATAAGGGAAGGGAAAGTCATGCAAATACGGTGTCACTTCCATGCCACCCCCAGCCAGTTGCTGCACTTGCTTCAAGTCAAATATGCTTGTGCTGTGGGCGGGCGCCGCGGCCGCAGCAGCTGTGTCCTGCTTCTGCTGCTGCTGAGGCTCCGGATCAAGAATGAGCAGTAAAGGGATGCACCCCCGTGCAATCGCTGCATTCACCCACGGCCTGGCTTGCTCTTTGTTGAGCCTGCCGTCGGAGAGGATGAGAACCATGCTGGTTGTGTTGCTGCTGTTGCTGCTGCTGTCATGCTCCAGTTCGTGTATCGCCAGCTGCAGCAAATCAGTGACGGCAACTTCGTGGCTCTTGCGCGACTCCTCTTTAAAGCTGCAGCGCTGCAACAGACGCTGCCCGTCCGCTGCAGAAACCTGTGACGTAGGGTGTATGCACACCTCCGGTTTGGGGCCGCCAAATGTACATACGCTCACAGTGCCAATCTGCAAAGCCCACAGCGACAGACGCGCCCTACAGCACAACTTCCAACAAACCTTCGATAACGTACAACTCAAGTGTACAACTCTAGCCACGGCTGGCGCAGCCGCTTCTGCCGACGCGCTGGCGCGCCTCTTCATTAAGCACACAAAGCCGCAAAGTGCAAACCCATGCATGCAAATGCATGCATATAATACAAGGATATATGCAGAAATGCACGCAAAGAGGAGCATGCATGCATTCAACCATCGGATGGGAGCATGCAAGCGGCCAGTGCATGGACTCAACACCCATTGAAGCATGCAGGCAGACGGGATGCATGCAGATTACCACATCATGCAGCAAGGGATCAGCCAACGAAAACAGGCTGCATGCGAGCATGCATACATACAGTGTACTGGATGCGCTGCACGGACTCGGCTTGAAAACTACAAGAAAGCGTCATGGGGAGGCAAAGCCTTAGCGGCTATCAGTCCCTCTCTCATTTCGTTGTCTTCCTCGTCAGCGCAGCCATAGACAAAAACGGATACAAGGCAAAGCGGAAGCAGGAGCCGCAGAGGCGGCGTGCACGCCGCTGGCCGACGAGCACAGAAGAAGAAGCTCAGGGAAGATCAGAGGAGTAAGACATTCAACTTTATTAACAAAAGGAATACTCAGGCCCGACGGAGATTCAACGGCGGCCGTTCGATGAAGTCACGCCATTGCTTGCACCAGGCAGAGGCATAAATAGCCAGATGTAAAACATGTGTAGGTCAGGCATGGAGATACATGCGCGCATGCACGAGGGAGACAGGCGATCAGCGCTGTGCATAGTGTGTCAAAGAGCAAACCTGGAGGTGGTTGAAGGCCTGTGCTAGGAGTACGACAGCCTCCAGAGCACTAGCGGCTGCATTCATCTGCTGCATGGAGCTGCTGCAATCAATCCCCACAAGGACACGGTACTGAAATCCCTGCGGCCGCCGCCTGCGGAGCCAGAGGCGATCATCTCGCTGCGACGAGGCGACATAGGCCAACACCCGCCGAAGACTCAGCTTTTTCCCTGGAGAAACAAAAGACCGCATGCGTTTGCCATTGATGAGTTGTGTCCAAGAAATAAGAAAGCGGAGCTCTCAAGAACAAGCATATCGCTTGCTGGTGCTTTGCTACACCTGCTGCTGCTGTTTCTGAGCTGCTGCTGAGCTGTTGCCCGTGCATTCCCTTCATTGATGCAATTCGTTTTTTTCTAAGGGTGCAACGGTGTTGAAATAGAGAGGCCCCTTTAACAACAGGCCAGCAGGAACAGTCAAAGCATAGCATAGCAACCAAACAGACCAAACGAAGCCTACGCGCCGGAGTCAATGAACCATCGAGGCAAACAAAACAAAAGAAAAACTAACTAGATAAAGAATCCAATGGTGCACAGCTAGCAAAGGAAGCGCCAAACGCTTTATCACACAAGATGCCCTGGCTGCTCGCATCATATTGGCTGCCGCTCTCTCGAGGTAGGGAGTGGTACTCCGTTGCATTTGTCAGTCAAAGGGTCCATCAGCTGTGCACCCGTAGAAAACTTGGGTGATGCATAGATTAGGATATAAAGTCTGTGGGGACCTTTGCGTGCATGCATGAGCGATGCGTGCATGTGCGCATACCTGATCGGTAGCCTCCTTCCCAAGCCCCATTAGCACTCGGCTGCAGCACCAGACGGAGTGTTTCGCTCAGGCTGACGGCTGCCGCAGCTGTACGGCCTTCAAGAAGGTGCCAAAGAGCTGCACAGCGCCACAAAATCCACACATGCAGGCGCATGCAAGGCGTACAGCTTTCCAGGGCCGGCCTGCAGCCCCTAAATGTACGGCGTGTACACCGAGGACTGCACGCAGCAATGCGTTTCCTCATACGCACACGCCTTTTTCACAGCCGGAAGGCATCATACATACAGACATGCACTCAGAGATACATACATACATAGACAGGGTGCCACACACATACAAACACACACACACACAAACACACATAGATATACACATGCAATATGCATATGCATATACATATTACATATATATATATATATATATATATATATATATATATATATATATATATATATATACATGATCAGCGATATATGTATACGAACCTAGGCGTTGGCGTAATCGCAAACGCACGCCTTTGCCGCTGAAAACGTGCATGCATGCATTGCATTGGCCGACCCACGACCAAACGGGACGAAACCATCACAGCAAGTTATGAGAGATTTTAGACGGAGATCACATGCACACGCCTACTGCATACATGCTGTCGCTGACCTGCTGCGTGTTCAGGCGACAGTCCGTCCTTGCCTACGTCATCTAGAGACAACCTCTGTTGGAGCTCTGCCTCCATTTGTTTTGTTTTTGCTTCTTCTTCTTCTGCACGCCATGGATCTTGTTGGTTCTTAGCTTCTGTTGCGTCTCCCTCCTGCTGCTGCTGCAGCGGCAGCTGCTGCTGCTGCTGCTGCTGCTGGTCATGCGCTGGTGAATGCGTGTCTTGCTGGGGTTCAAGCTGCTCAAGGAGGCGTGCAGAAGCCTCATCCTCATCCCGAGTCTCCTCGCCTCCCTGGTCGTCTGTCTCCATGAAATCCGTGTTGTCTCCTACGAGTTGTGCAGACAGCTCGCGGGCCTCCCCCTTCTTCTCTGGCTTCTTCTGCTGCTCGGCATTAGCTACAGAGGATATGAATTTGTCTTCCACTGCGTTCACACATGATCCACGTTTGCCAGTAAAATAAATAGTGAATCATGAAGAAACCACCAACTGCTTGCGAGAATGATAATACTTTTGATGCTAACAAGAACGAAACACAAGAGCAGGCGCATGCGCATTGGCTCGCTTCCTCGGCGTAGCTCGAGGAGTTAGGCGGCCAGAGGAAATACGGCTGCCTGTTGCCTGTGGTGCTGCTATGGCTGCAGTGGATATGCTGGGGTTAAAACGGAGACAGCTAGGCGGTAGAAGGGTACTGTGGCAGCTGCGCTGAGGGAGACACTCACAAATCTGTTCTTCCGTTCGTCGTTCCCCTCCAGCTTCTGCCTCCTCCCTGCAAATCCACCAAACACCTCTAACTCTAAACGTTAATATCTAGCTAGGTCCTATACATTAAGGCCTTCCCTATCCAATAGCAAGATGCTTCACCTTCACCTCTATCGCCCGTGTTTAACCCCCAAGCTCTAAACCCTCAACCCGCTTACTTGAGGTCTGTCTCAGCCAGCTTTGCATTGTTGGCGCTCTGGAAGGCCGATGATTCTTCAGCCTCTGCAAAGGCTTCGTGAGTCCCTGCCGCCTCATCTTGTTGACAGACCTGTCCCCTCTGTAGCTGGGATTTCTCTTCACTTCCCTGGGGTGACTCGTCCCCTTTGTTTGGTTCCTGAGCAGCGATGTTTTCGTCTTCATCTATATCCTGCCTATCTTTTTGTAGCAGCTTGACTTGCTGCAGCCAGCGCTCCACCGCTCCGGCGTCTTCAAGCGGGTTATCCGGCAGCGAAAAGGGCGACGGGGGCTTCCGGCTGTCTCCCTGTTGGGATCCCCCCGTGCCGCTGTCGCGAGTAAAGGAGCCACCGTCTTTTTCTGCTGCAGCGGCAGCAGCAGCAGCATCTCCCCCGTCCTCCTCCCAGCCGTCAGCTCCCTCGTCGCCGACGTCTCCGCCATCTTCCCCGTCACCTTCCATTGTCTCCTGCTGCACGAGGCTGCATGCACCAACCCACCAAAAGCAAGCAGCACCAAATATAGAGCATCGCAGCCATCCCTGAAACTGTGCATGCGTCTCACCCAACCGTGCAGGTAGCAGCACTGATATCAAATCCAACAAAGGCAAAGCCCGCAGCAGCGAGGTCTAACAGTCGAAGGCCCATGAAAGATATACCCCTGCTCACCTGCCCTCCCCTTCTATGCCAAAGGCCTTGTGATCTTTCCTCTTAGGGGGCGTCTGTCGGCGCTGCTCAGCAGCTGAGGAATTTTCTTCTCCCTCATTTAGGGGAGCCGCTAGACCTGCAACAACCGGCAAAGCACATGCACGAACCCCAGCTGCAGCAGCAGCAACAAACCCATCAGCACTACCAGCAGCTCTTTGAGCTTCACGTGGCACATTTGTGGCCAGCATAAGGCTCGCACTATGCAGTCACCAGGCTCAACCCTAAAGCATAGACCCCACACTCCATATACTGATACAAAGAGATGCAAGTGCCGGACGGTTGCACTGTATACTGAGTGCAGGATGCCCCAGCTGCGCTTAAGGCGTTCCCTAATTCCTCTAAACAACACCACCGCAGACAGCCAGTTCAGTTCACTCTGAAAGCTGCGCTATCGAGTGTTCGGTGGGGCGGTTTCGGGTTGCCACAGGGACAAAGGGGTTGGGGAGAGCTGCGGCCTCAGCGACGCACTGACAGAGGCGCATCAATTCCTCTGTCTCCCTCTCTGGCTGCATCTCATCACAGGGCACCCTCAAGGGCCAAAGACCCCAAAGGGGCACTGCAGAGGCCTTTTCGTCTCATCGTCGGCAGCAGCCCCCCAACCCCAAGCCCCTCGGACACCTCGCAACACGCCTTATCCCCTAGACCCCTCAACAAGCCCTAAAACCTCAACAAATTTCCTGTGGTTGCTTTATACGGCCCTCTCAGAACAGCTGCAAATCCATAGTAGACCAGAAGCCACGCTACCAATTTCTGCTAGGGGCCCTGGGGCTTGAATTTGCAGCTTGCAACGAAAAACGCATGCAACGACAACTGCGACGCATGCAACGGCAACTGCAACAATAGCAGTAGGGCTAGCAGCAGGAGCACAAACTAGGCGCCGGCGACCTACCCTGCACCGATGGGTCCTGGTGGACATCCTTATCGTTGCCTTCTGTCTCATCTGCCTCTTCTTCTCCTGTCTCCTCCGGATCCACTTCCCCTTTCTCCTCAGCCGGCACAGGATCAGGCCCCTCCTCCTGAGTGTCGGCAGCACTGCAGCTGCTATCGTCTGCTGCATCTCCAGCTTCGTCGGAGGGTTGATTCTCCTGCATCTGCTGCTCGTGATCTCCTGTCCCCTGCTGCTGGGTCTCGATCGCATCAACAGCCATGTCCTCTCCCTCCCCTGTGCCGTGTCCAGTGTTGTCGCTGTCGTCTGGTGCAGCAGCATTTTCCTGCTGCTCTTCTGCATTGCCTGTCTCTTCTGGAGCTTGTGACGCCTCATCTACGCCGTCTCCTTCCTGCTCGTCTCCATCTAAAGCCACATCGTCTAGCTGCAGATCGTCTCCCCATCGATCTGTGGGGCCTTCACCACTAGCCTGCTGCTGCTGCTCCTGCTGCTGCTGCTCCCTGTCGCACGCCTCGTCTGCTGTTGCACTACCAGCTTCCTCTGTTTCGCTTCCTTCCTCTTCGCCATTGCCGCCTGTCTCCTCCTCCGTACCAAGGTCTCCTCCCCGCAACTTCTGTTCATAATGCGGGGCTTGCTGCTGCTCTAGTCCGTCGCCTTCCGAAGGAAGGTCCTGCAGCATCACCAGGGCAAACGCATGGAGCAAGCATCCATAAGAGCCAACGGTTACCACCAGACACCTACCTCAAGAGAGTGGGGCGGGCTTGCATGCAGTAAGAGAAAACACAGGGCCCCAGCAAAGAAATGCAGAAGTGTACCTCCAGTTTTCCCTCATCATCTCCCTCATCCTGGGTCTTGTCTGAGTTCTGCTGCTGTTTTTGCTGCTGCTGCTCCCCTTTTGTTTCCTTGTTGCCGTTGGAGATGTCATCGGTGTCTTTTGTCCCCTCCATCTCAACTTCTCCCTGAGGAATGCCCCCCTCTGTGTCGATCGTCTCCTCTTGTCGGTTGCTGTGCTTCTCGGTTTTCTCGGTTTCGTCATCAGATCCTTCATTTCCCTCCCACCTTTTGTTCTCTATCTTTCCTCCTTCTTGCAAGTCTACCTGCCCAGCGCTGTCCTCCAGTGGCTCCTGCTCCTGCTCTTGCATCTCGCCACCTGCCTGCGAAGCCGGGGGTGCCTCCGCCTCTCCATCAAAATCCATGGACACCTCTAGCGCCTTGTCCTGAATCGCACAATCAAAAGTCATAAACCCAAACCATGCAAGCATTCCTTCGGCCGTACGACACACACAGCACCGTCGTGTTTAGATCTTGGGTTTCCACCCGCATATGCACGCAGAGAAAGCTTTGCTTCAACGAGATATTCAGCGATAGGGAATAATTTGCAAGGCAAAGTAAACACGATTAGGGCTTAGAGTAATGAAATAGCGCTGAGACGGCGTTCAATGAAGAGCTGAGGGTTTAGGGTTTGAGAACGCACCTCTTCTTGGGTCTTTGGTTTTTCTGGGGGCTTTTGCTGGGGATCGGCCTGCTCATCTTTGAGACCATCGAACTGCCATTCGTCCTTTATTTGTTCTGAAGTGTCTCTGGCGCCGTCGCCTTCCCCCAATCCTGTCCCTGACACCCACTCGTCCTTTTGCTTCTCAGGTCTTGCAGCTGCTGCTGCTGCTGCCTCCTCCTCCTCGTTGCTCCGCCGCCCCCACCCCAGCTGCAGCAGCACCCAAGTCAGTTGCAACAGACTCAGACACAAACGAACTGTCCCCTCGAGTGCGTCGAACGCAGTCAAAACCACCGCTGCTGCTCGCTGCAGCGTCTGCAACACGACCACCCTTGCTATACTGCTGGTCTTCGTCGCTGCTGCAGCTGAGCCTGCTCCTGCCACGGCTGTCTGGAGCAAGGGGTGAGTCAGGCACGCTGGGGCTGCCATTATAAAGGCCTCAACAGCAGCAGTGCAGTCCCCGAAGGGGAAAAGACACTCGATAGACGGCACGGGCAGGCTAGAGAACACTGGCTGCTGCTGCTGCTGTTGCTGCTGTTCAGTGTCTTTCTCAAGCCCGCTGGGGACCTGCAGAAGGTGGTCCACTACCCGTTGCCCTCTGCACGCCGAGAAGGCCTTTTGAAGTGTCTCTGTTGCCTTCGCCAAAGCCGCGCCCCCCGCGCCGCTGCGGCTCCCGCTTTCCTCCCGAGCAGTCGCAGCAGCTGCAGCAAGAGCAACGCGTTGCGCATGCAGGACCCCACAGGCCCTGCGAAGACCTGCGGCTGCATGCGATGGTAGCAGACCAAAGAGCCCTTTGTCTCCCGACCCATGGTCTTCTTGTGTCGTCAGAAGACCGACCGTTTCCTTGCAAGCAGTATCAACCTCCTCTAGCCACTGCACTCGTACCCGCATGCAACGTGAATGCCTCTCTCCTGCTGCATCGAAGGCGGTCGAATTTGCACTGTAAGCAACTGCCGCGAGCCGCCGAGCCTCGGGGCTGTTCATGAGCAGCTGCTGCAGTGAGTCGAGCTGCTGCAGCGCCTTGCGAAGCGTATCCCATGCACTCCGCAGCTGCCGAACGTCATGGCGCAGCACGCGGGCCTCATCAGTCTCCGCTCCTGTAGCCGCTGCAGCAGCTGATGCTGCGGTTGCAGGCAGCTGTTCCCCGCCAAGGGCTGCTGGGCCATTAACGGCTGCTACAGAAGCAGATGCCGAGGAGGGGACAGCAAATGCGAGATCTAATGCATCATTTTGCGCTGCTGCCTCATGCAGCGTCGGTAGAAGGGCTCCAGCCTGCTGCAGCGCCTGCTGCAGTGTCTCTGCCGCTCGTTGCAGATTAAGCTGCAACGCGGAAGGCACGGTGACAGAAGGCGATACAAGAGATACCGCCGCTGCGTCCATTAATCCCTGGTACTGCGCGGCCGCCTGCCAGCAGCGTTGCCGCTGCTGCAATACGTGCAGCACTAGCGCAGCAGCAAACCCCAACAGCATCTCCCGCTGCCCCATCAAGTCTTTGTGTGGTGTTGCGAACTGCTGACACTGCATCAGCGTCTGCAGTAGCAGGTACCACTGCTGTGCAGCAGAGGCCCAAGTGTCCCCTAGTAGCTCCCCGATGGTCTTTGGGGCCTCCACTGCTGCATCTGTGGCTAACCAACCAGGCAGGCTCCCTTTGCTCAGGTTCCTGCGAGACACAGTGGCGGCTGCTCTGGCTGCGGTGTCGTGCTGCTGCAGCGCTGCTGCATCCTGCAGCGGGTGAGGTAATCCCGGCGGCCCGGGCAGGCCACTAGCGTCGTTGAGAGCGGCAGCAAATAGGCTTGAGTCCCCTCCGCACAGAGACAGACAGGGCAGCTGTAATTCCCTACGCAGCATTGCGCGAAGCTCGGCGAACCTTCGCTGCATCTGCTGCCGCGTCACCTGTCTCTTAGGCTTTGAGCGGCTAGCTGCCGTTGCTTTGTCCGGCTGCTCCTGCTGCTGCTCCTGCTGGCCTTCAGCCGCTGCTGCTGACGCTGCTGCTGCCTCCTTGACGGTAGCAGCGAAATCCTGGCATATAGCCTGCACCTCCAGGGCTACATCCGCAGCACTCGACGAATTGTCGTTAAACGCATGCAGGTCTTTTAAACACCTGTAGTCGACATCAGTAGCCTCTGCAAGGCCCAGGGAAAAGCTTAAGAACCTTCCCACAGCCTTCGCTCCTGCTGTTATAGTTGCTTCTGCTGTGTTTGCTGCTGGGGGGCCTGCTGCTTCTGGCGCAGCTTGTGCTGCCGCTTCTGCTCCTGCTGCTGCTGACCCTGCTGCAGTCCTCGTGCTTCTGTGGCAAGCAGCGTCTGCAATGCCTTCGACTGCTAATCGGGAGGCAGCCAGTGGGGACAGCAGCGGAAGAGAGAGAGCTGCAGCTACTAGCTGATCGTGGAGCTGCTGCTCCCTGGGCCCCACTGCTGCATGCATGAGCTGCAACAGACACCCATCGAAAGTCTTCACGTGCTTCGCCAACTGCACGTGAGTCTTGTGTACAGACCTGCAAACAAACACATAAGACACTGCAAGCACGGCACACGAAGTCACACGCAAGAAGCAAGACACAAGATGCGAAGCACAGGAGACAACACGCAATGGAAAAGATACAATGCAGAACACAAGGTGACAGGGGACGAGAGAGAGAAGACCATGTACAGTGAACGCGCTGCTGCTTTGACGCGGTTGGCCCTTTCAGCTAATGTCTTTCCAGGGTTTCTGCAGTACCCCTCCGGGGCAATGCAGACACCCTAGAAAGATACGAGACAGGAGACAGCTAGATTGTGCGAACTGTCTCACTCCCGCATCGCCGTCCGGCTGGAAAGATCCCACCGGGCCAAAGACGTTAGCGTGCCGACAGCTCTGTCCATCTCCTTGCGGGCTGCATGCAGCTGTTGCTGCACAGCCCGTAGCCAGCCAGAAGCAACAGCAAACCTCGCGACAGCCCCCATGATTACGCACACCATCTCTGCCTTTGAATCCTCAGGCTTTTCTACAGCCTCCCCTGGTCGTAGTTCATGTTGACCCTGCATGGACACCGGAGCAGAGCCTACTGCAACAGCAGAAACCCCAGTTGCTGCTGCACCCCGCAGCAGCAGCCGCCTGCAATAACTTGCTCCTTCAAGACACCGAAGCCTCCCTTCAAACTGCCCCAGAGGGGACGTCCGCAAAAACTCAAGCAGCACGTCTGTGACTGCTCTTGGGGAGCAGCGGATGAGCTGCAGCAACACAGCGCCCGCGAGATCTTGGTTTCCTGCTGCTGTGTCATCTGTCAAGACAGATTCTGCTGCAGCAGTTGCTGCTGCAGCTGCGGCTGCTGCTGCTGCTGCAGGAGGCTCCGAAGCATCACCGTCGTCTGGCAACAAGCTCCACAAAAACGGCGCAAAGTGAAGACTCTGCTGCTGCATGCGCTGTTCCCTGAACAACCTCAAAAACCGCCACTCCAGCAGCTGCCGCCTCCGCAGCAGCACCACCTGTCTCTCAACCGCTCGCACAGCGGCATCGAACCGCTGCAGGAGCCTTTCTGCTGCCTGCATAGCTGCTTGCTCCTGCTGCTGCAGCGAAGCCCGGGTGCTGCTGCTCTGGGGCATTCCACGCGTAGGCTCATCCTTGGGCTCGGAAGAAGGGGCGTCCGCGTGCGCCTCCTGCTGCTGCGCCGCTGCTGTTGCAGCGGGAGAAGACGTAGCAGCAACCGCAGCGGGGATATGTAGGCCAATCAGGTGGGCCAGTTGATGCCTGTCCATAGACTTTTGCCAGGTTGCTGCGCGATCAAGAAGACCCTCGAGAGCAGCTAGCGCGTCAGCAGGAGATGTAGTGAGGAGGCAGAGAGCAGCAACTCTCTGCGTTAGCAGCAGCATACTTTGCAGGACTGGATGGTCATCTACAAAGGCAGCAAACGAAGCAGCTGCCTCCTGAAATCTCTGCACGGGACCGCTCAGAGGCTCCAGCAGCACGGGGTTCCCAGGCGCATAGAATGACGTCGCTACGTTCTTGCTGCTCCCAGAAAAGGACACGCTACGACAGAGTTGAGCGAAGCGCACCTTCCGTGCACGCTCCCGTTGCTGCTGCAGCCGTTCCTGCTGCAGCTGTTGTTCTGTTGTGCTATCGTCTGTATCCGCCTCGGCAGTGGTAGATTCGTCAACTTGCTCTTGTTGCTCGGCCTCCGCTGCGGCGTCGTCCTCCTGAAGCAGCAGCTGCTTCAGCTGCTGCTCCTGCCGCTGTTGCTGCAGCGGGGAAGCCCCTATAAAACGGGCCTTGGTCTGCGCCAGCATAGCCTGGATATGCGGAAAGCAAGGGCCGTCTAGTTCTGGAGGCACCCGTGCATCTTCGGCTAGCGTTGCTCTTGACGCTGCTGCTGGTGCTTGGGTCGCTGCCACAGATGCAGCTGTAGCTGAACCGTCATTGCGTGCGTTCAACAGGATGCAGAAGGAGGCCTGAAGAAAAACAGAAGCGAGACACAGGAGGGCAACGCAGGCTAGTCAGAGACAGTGCAACTGCGTTCTTATATACGCATGAAGGAGTGCATGGGCTTCTGCCTCCTCCCACACTGTGCATACGCCTTTACCCACACTGACTCTGCATAAGCTTTTGCCATTCTTACCGGAGTTTTTCAGCACGCAAGTTGAGATGCGGCTTATATGAAGAAGACCCATACTTACCGTGAGCGCTTCTCGATATGCTGCGGCTGCTTCCAGGTCACTGTCGCCTGCTCGCACGCTGCTGTTGCTGTTGCTGGTGCAACCGCTCCATGCACATGCAGCATCCACAGCGCGGCCCCACATGTGCAGCAAGTCTGCCTCAGTTAGTCCTTCTAGGTGATGCAGCGTGTGCTGCTGCTGCTGCTGTCTCTGTTCCTCTTCTGCTTGCTCGTTGTAGGCGACTTGATTGCACCATTCCGTGTACTGGGTGCGCTCCTGATCCTCTGAGCCCCCCATTTGCAGCAGCTCTTGCTGCTGGTGCTTCTCGTCCATCTGGGCCCATTCCTCGCTGCATGGGAAGAGTTCCTCTGCAGCTTTTGCATCATCCCGGTGTTTTCCTGCTGCTGCTACTGCTGAGCGGTCAACGACAAGACCCTCAAGGCGCTGCAGTAAGGTAGCCGTCTCGTCTGCTGCAATCTGCTGCTGCTTCCTCCAAGCCAGGTGCTTCTGAGATACCTCTTGCAGCAACCCAGCCAGGGCCACCCGCGCAGAAGCAAACGGGGTCGCACAAAGCAGAGCAGTGGCTGCTGAGCCACGGCTTCTCCGGTCTGCTGCTGCTGCTGCTGCTGCGGCCTCTGCGCGTAGCCACAGCAGCAACCATTGCACTCGCTGCAGCGGCTGCAGCAGCTGCGTTCCCTCGTCGACGCTTTCAGCGGTCAGCAAAGCAAACGGCAGGGCCGGAAACGATGTTGCCCCCTTTAGCACCAAGTACACAGGCGAGGCTGCCCGCAGCCGCTGCTGCAGCTGCTGCTGCAGCTGCTGCTGGCGCTGCAGAGCGTCCGTGGCTTCACCGAACTCTAGCAGGCCTTTGGCAACTGCCCAAAGGCCAGTTGCAGCTGTACGCACGGCAGGCGCGAGGAGGAGAGGATGGGCAGCAGCAAGGCGGCTGCTGCACGCTGCTGCTGCTTCTGCTGCTGTTCTCAAGGCAGCTGCGGAGCGGGGACCTGTCTCTTTCTCGGCAGGAGCAACGCCCTCTGCCTCCAGCAGTAAAGGCGCCAGCTCTGGCAACAGAGAGAGAAGTCTGCATCAAAAATACACACAATAACCCTGAAGGCTGAGAGGGACTGAATGCACGACAAAACAAAAAACGTTGCTTAGAACCTATACCCCGAACACGCCACATACAAAACCCATATATATATATATATATATATATATATATATATATATATATATATATATATATATATATATATATATAACATCCAGATGAGCCAGTGGCGTCTACACTCTCCTTCACTATGCATTTAACTAATTGGGTGTGGCTCCCGTTGCTGCTGCTGTTGCTGCACTGTGGCGGTAGGGCGCAAAGGAAACGAAGCAAGAAGCAGACGAACCGCTCTGTCTCCAGGGTGTTGCAGCAAAACTCATTAAGGCCATCTAGCCAAGCAGCTAGCGCCACCTCAGGTGCAGCAGTGACCGACGAGCCGCGCTCTATAAGTTGCAGCACATGCAACTGAGCAGCAGTGGCTCCCTCGCCCTCATCTGTCCCCGAGCCTGCTACGTCCGACTCTTCTGCTGCTGCAGGCATAGCGGCACCCGCGGGTAGCAAGCGTAGGGCCAAGTCTGGCGGTATAGCTGTTGGCTGCAACGGGAGAAGGCGCGTGAGCTGCTGCAGCAAACTGTCAACTTTGTTGGTCTGTTGGAGCAGTTGCTGCATCGCATCTGCATGCGTTGCAGTCTCAGCGGCAAGCACTACAGAGGCTGATGTGCGGCCACCAATCCCCGAACTCAGGTCCCTTTGCACGCCGTCGCAGCCATCCAGAGCTGCTGCACGCAACAGCAGCGCCTCCGTCTACAGCAACCAGAAGCAACGCACACAGAAGCCGCAGCAGCCGTCAAACGAGACAACTTTCTTCTGAAGGGGCTCAAAAGAAACTCAGCAAAGCCGAAAGAACGCAGGCGACGGGGCGAGGGGGTGCCTTACCTCTAATGTGTAGGCCTTCGACTTCATCAGGACGGCTTGGCGCCAAGCTGCCACGTCTCGCTGCTGCTGGAGCTCCGCTGCTGCTGCTGCTGCTGCGCTCAAGACAGCCCATCTTCCCAGCAACATCAGCAGCAGCGAACGCTGCCGCTTGCCAGAGGCGCCATGCAGCAACTCACTCGGGTCTGCGACTTCTGCACACCTCTGCAGCAGCTGTTGCAGCATCATCAAAGACGCAATAGCAGTCCGGCCTGCATCCAGGCTGCGACCGCGTGCTGCTGTTGCTGCTTCCGCGCTGCCAGCAGCATGTGGAGCTGCCGCTGCTCTTAATCTCATCTGCAAGTCATTCGCAACCGTGAGCAGCCCTGCAGCTGCTGCCTTCGCTGCGTCTCTTGATTTTGCGTTTGCTCCTGTTGAAGCTCCCGTGACAGTGCCAGCACCGAGAAAGCCAGCAAGGCTAGCCCAGGCGTCCCTGAGTGCACTCAAGACCGCAGCAGATGCTGCGGGCGCCCAAGCATCTCGCTGTACCGCTTGGTCTGTCTGAATGTCGGTCGAAAATTCAGAGTCCCTCTCCCGCAGCGGCCCGCAGAATGACCATAGAGCAGCAGCAAAACCCAGGACTGCTGCCCACTCAGCAGCGGCAGCAGTTGCCGTTGTTCCCGTTCCTGCGACTGCGACAGCTGCTGCAGTTGCTGAAGTGGTGCGAGCATCCCCATGTGCCTCGGTCTCCTCCGCGCAGATGCCCATCTCCAGCAACCGGCAGGCCCGTCTTCTGTCTGCGTCGAGGCGTTGCAGCTGGCGTTGCAGCCGTTGTAGCACGATGAAGCATGCACAGGCTGAAGACACAGTGGCGTGCTGCTGCACCTCTGCAACAATGCGAGCAGCGTAGGTAGAGCTGCCGCCAACGCTCACTGTCTCCTGCAGTTGCATCGGCCGTTCCACGCGCCCCAGCGGAGCAGCTGTTGTTGTCGTTGCTGTGGCAGCGGCTGCGCCACGAAGCCCTCCTGCTGTTTCTGCAAGACGGTCCAAGGCCTGCTGTGTGAGCAAGACAACTGGACCTTTCGGACGCCCTGCTGCCATTGCTGCTGTTGCTCCTGGTGCGTTTGCATCTTTCCCTGGCGCGCATGCATCGTGCAGCAGCTGCTGATGAAAGAGAGCACCCTGGAGGCCCAAGGCGTCGTTGCAGTGTATATCCAGCTCCGTCCGCCACATCAAAGACAAGACCTCGACGGCAGCGCATGTAGCAAGCCGTAGATGCTGGAGCCCAACAGCTTCCTTGCGCTTCTGCTCGTGCTGCTGCTTCTGCTTCTGCTGCCAGAGAGCGGCCGTAAGCACTGCAGAAGCATCCACCAGAGCTGGCGGAACGGGTATTGGCTTGGCAGCTGCACTGCACGAGCTCGAAGGACCCTCGGAAGACAGCAGAGAAACTGCAGCTGGGGGGAGGGTGAAGAGGGGCAGAACTTCCTGCTGTTGCTGCAGCTGTGTCTGTGCAGCGCGTTCCAACGCCAGAGACAGAGCAGTGGCAGCCCTGAAATATCCGGGGCCCGCGTGACCATCAGGAACGCCAGCAGACCTTCTCTCCTCTTCTCTATGCGGTTGCATCCACAGATTCAGCAGCATCAGCTCGGCTGCATGCTGCAGACCCAACTGCACTGCAGAGGCTGCTGCCAGCTGCGCCTGCAATGCGCCAACGGAGACAACCGCGCTGCTGCTTAGAGACACCCAGCGCTGCTGCTTGCTGTCGATACGTCCCTCTGCAGCAGCTGCTGCGCGTAATGCCGCTATTCTACTGGCTGCGCCGTTCAACAGAAAAGGTACAGCAGCGGCAGTTGCTGAGCCTGCTGCTGTTGGTGGCTGTGGCTGGTGAGCAGGGAGCAGAGCCTCGCCGACCTTAGCTTCAAGGCTCTCTGCTGCCCCTTCACGGCCCTCAGCCCGCAGAACGCAGCTGCTGAGCAACAGCGCATGCAACGCCGGCGCATGCAGCAGCAATGATTTGCTTTGAACCAGCTGCTGCTGATGATCTTGCCGCTGGCGCTGCTGCTGAGATGTTCCTACACTGGCACGGCCAAATGCATGGCGTCCTGAGTGCAACAATAAGGCGAAGGCCCAGTCTAAAGACGGGGCTGTGCATGCAAAACGCCGCGAAAATGCAGCCATTCGTCGCTCCTCAGTTGTTCCTGTTGTTGCTGCGCCTGCTGCTGCTGTATCTGTGGCTTCTGCAGCTTCTCCGGGCCCAGAACCCGAGGAGGCCATAAGGGTTGCTGCATGCAGCAACTCTCGTAGCAGCCAACCCCGCACTGTCTGTGCCTCGTGTTGCCCCAGCTGAAGAGGAAGCAGACACATCCAGCTGTTGCAGGACACTGTATCAGTACCAGCAACAGCTGCAGCAGCAGATTCATCGCTTTCCGGTACCAGCTGGTGGTGCTGCTGCTGCTTCCTCGCCTCCAGCAAACGCAGCGATTCCCCGCCTCTCTCAGTTGCCGGAAAGCTCCCCACAATACGGCTTGCACGCCGCAACGTTGCGCGCATGCAACCGAGTGGCTGCAGGAGCTCAGCAGCAACAACATCTGCTGCTGGAGACGTTGTCACTGCGGTTGCTACCCAATCCCAGTCCTCCGAGCCATCGAGGTTTCCCATCGCAGCAGCAGTTTCTCCTGCTGCTGCAGCAAAATCCTGAAGGCTTTCACCAAAGAGTCTAAACAGCAGAGACAGTACACCTCCATGCCGCTCCAAGGCTATCTGCATCCTTTCCTCGCTTCTGAGGAGTTGCTGCCGTTTGGTGCTACTGCTGTTGCTTCTGCCTCTGCTACTTTCGTTCTCTGCTGCAGCAACATAGCCGCATCTACCGCAAACAGGGAGAGCCAGCAGCTGCAGCAGCTCTGCCCACAAGCTAAAGCAGCGGGCCAGATGCTTACACTGCCGCGCAAGGCTCCCAGCCAAGACCTCAGCAGCAGCAGGCAGCGGCAGCAGCCCGCCACCGGCTTGCCGAGCAAGCGAGCAGAGAGCCCCGTCAGCTGCAGACACCGTAGAGCTTGATAGACGGCGGAGACCTTCAAACACACGCTGCATCAACTCCCCGAGTGAAATCTTCTCTGCTTCATTCTGTTCCTCTAGCAGCTCGTGCGGCACCAACTCCTGCTGCAGCTCATCCAGTTGCTCCTGATGCTGCCCCTTTCCAGGCCATGCGTAAGCAAACAAGAGACACCAGAAGTACTCTCGGCCTTCTAGGCTGCAGCGCGGGCACTCTGTGGATAGCCCCTTGCTGCGTTTCTGCGCATGCAGTAGCAGCAGCCGCTCAGGCATCAGAAGCGCTGTACACGAACTGCGGAGCAAGTGAACTACCTCGCGCAGTAGCTCCTGCTGCTGCATCTGCTGCTGTTGCTTCTGCAGCGAAGGCGACTCGTCACTGCTGCCGCTGAGATATCGTGTCTCCAAGGACGAGAAAGTTCCTAATAGGCTAGCGGCTGTGTAGAGGAAGGACTGGCCGTGTGCCTGTGCAGCTGCAACTAGAGTAGTTGCAGCTGCTGCAGCACCGGGCGGCAGCAGAGGCCCCTGCACGATATCATGTAGTGCACTGCATGCGGCAGCGAGGTAGTGGACAGTTGCTTTTCGCTGCCGTTGCCGCAGTGGCTGTTGCTGTTGCAGTGTGTCTTGCTGCAGCTGCTGCAGCACACGGAGACGCGCAGCGAAATCTTCTGCATCAGCTGCACTCCACATAAAGTGGCGCACTGCTGCAGCGAGCAGCGGAAGCCCCCTCTCAGCCCTCTCAGCGCAAGCAGCAACAACACTCCCCATGAGCGAGACCTCACTTGCAACAGACCTAGCTAGCAGTCCCTCGCGGGTGCTGCTGCTGCTGCTGCTGCTGNTGCTGCTGCTGCTGCTGCTGCTGTTGCTGCTGCGTTCTTGATTCAAAAGCACATGCCGCTCGACAGCTCCCCGTAGGATAACCCAGTCGTCGTCCTGTTGCATATGGTCACCGCCGTCTGCAGAGCTGCTGCTGGCTTCCCCCATGCTGGAGACTGAACAGCAGCAGCAGCAAGCTGCCAACAGCTGCAGCAGCAGCAAGCGCCATACGGCTGAAGAATCCAACGCTGCCGTGTACTGCCACAGAAAACACTGGAAAAGCGTCTGCACAGATACACTGCCATCTAGATCCATGTCCGCTGTTGAACCTGCCGTTGCTGCTGCTGCTGCTGCTGCTGCGGCTGCTGTTTGCGTTGTCCCTGTTACTGCTGCTGACGAAATTCCTCTATCTGAAGCTGCCACATTTCCAGCAGCTGCATAGGCGCTGCCCCAACCCTGTAGACATCTCCAGCTTGCTGCTGCTGCTGCTGCTCTGTCTCTGTTGCTCTTTCCTGCGACTCTGCAAGCGAGTGCCTGCAGCCCGGCAAGGCCAGCAGCAGCAGCCGTCTCTCCCAGGTCAGCGCGGATGTCTCGGAGCCCCGCAGCAACTACATCGCTGCTGCTGTCCCGTGGTGTGCCTTTCTGCTGTTGCAGCTGCTGGGCTTGCTGCTGCACTTCCTGCTGCGCTTGGTGCTGCAGCGGAGCGTCAAACAGCGAAGACTGTGCCACAAGAGCAAACTGAGATAGCACGGATTCGTTCCCCAGCAGCTGCAGCAGCAGCTGCATTGCTGCATGCTGCAAAGACATGACTTCTGCTGCTGCCAGCGGCAGACCCCTATCGCTTGCCAGCAGTAATCTGTAGCTGTCCTGTAGCAAAAGAGGACAGAGGCGTACGCTGCTGCTGTTGCCGGTGCTGCAGTAAGCCTTGCTGCAACAATAACTGATGAAAACACCCACGACGCGGAGTGTTGCGCTTGCTGCTGTTGCACCTGCTGTAGACTTTGCCTTGCCTCCCCCGTGATCTCCCTCGAGTTCTTCCTCTGCCGTCAGCAAGGACGCAGACCAGCGAGACAGCACCGCTTGCAGCTCTGTGTCTCCTCCTGTCGCCGCTGCAGCAGAAGTCCCACGGTCCATCAGGAGAGCTGCAAGACTTCTTAGCAGCCGCTCCGTCAGCCTTTCCAGCAGCAGCAAGGGCTGCCTCGCTGCTGCTGCTGCTGTTGCTGTTGCTGTTGCTGGCGCTACCCCTGGTCTTTCCCCTGTGTCTAGAGCGCATTCCTCTCTAGTATGGTTGGCCGTTGTTTGGGTTGCTCGGTCTGGTGGGTCTGCTTGTGCGGCTGTTCCTGTTGCTGCTGCTGTGCCTGGCGGGTGCACGTACACCTCGCAGCATCTGTTTCTCAGTGCAGCGGACAGCCTGCATGAGCCGGCAGCCTCAGCTGTGAAGAGAATTCGGAAATTGGGGTGTCTCTTCACCTCTCTCGGGGGGCCCCCTTCAGTTAGTAATAAACTGCCGCCGTCTTCTAACAACGCATTGAGCCTGTCTAGAACTGAGGCGCTGCAGAGGTGAGCACTCCTCAGCAGCAGCCAATGGCCGCGTCGTACAGCATCCACAAGTGCACTGTCTGCCCACTCAAAACGCGATATCTCCTCCTCAGCCCCTGCTGCTGCTGACGTTCCTGCTGCAGCAGACCCTACGGGATGCAGGCCGCCCAAAGCGCAGCCCTGCTGCAGCAGCCGCATGGCCTTTCGGCTGCGCCGCTGCAGCACAGCACGCACTGCCTCGACCCCTGCAGCATCCTTGCCACTACAGGGAGCCAGCAAGGACATAGCAGCCGCGTCACAACCCTCAAGCAATGCGGCTGTAGCTGCAGCAATCTGTTGCAGTAGCGTCATCGGCTGCATCTCACGCGCCATACTCTCCTCATTCTCTGAGACAGGTATGATATTCAACTCCGCGGCCTCTATCAGCTTCTGCCGTACTGCTCCAACAGCAGCACACATGTCCTTCAAGTGCTGCTGCTGCTGCTGCACATGTGGCTGTTGCTGATGTTGCTGCAACGGTTGCTGCAGCAGACAGTCCGCAACCTGTTGCGCTGCCTGGGCGGCCTGAAGAAGCCTTTGTCTGGGCTGGATTTGTCTGTACACCCCAAGCAGGTCTGACGTGTCTACAGAGGGCCCCAGTTGCACCTCGCACAACGTCGCGCCGCATGCAGCCGCCAGCCACCTCACGATGCTCGCCTTGCCTGCAGCAGCAGCAACAGCAGCAGCAGCAGCAGAAGCAAGGGATGCATGAATGAGACCCAAGCAGCACTGTCTTCTCCTACTAATCACACACCTACGACCCAGAGAAGAGACAAGCCATTCACACATTTCTGTCCCTTGCTGCTGTGCTGCACCAAAGCGCACGCCCAGAGACAACGACCAGGCATACAGACAGGCGATGCAGAACGACAGAAGAAAACAATCAGCAACGAGAGCGATGAGAGCGAGCCACGCACAAGCAGGGACACAAGCACGGGCACACAGAAACAGAGGGAAGAGGCAAATCCCCTCACCTGCGCCTCTCTCGCCAGTAAGCAGAACAGGGAATCCTGCTGTTAGCGCTGCTGCAACAGCAGAGACGCAGATTCTCTGGGAATGCAAGAGCAGCCCACAGAGTTTCCCTCCTTTTTGCTGCTCTGTTGTCTGCATCTGCTGCTGCTGCTGCTCCCCCACGTCTACAGGCGCTGCTGCTTGCTGGGTCAGCTCCATATCTCCAAAGGAGACGAAATTATCCCTCACTACTAGATCAACGGGCTGCCGCCCCTCAAACGCATCAGCAAAACTCTCTATAGACGGCAGCGCATGCCGCTGCACAGCATGCAACACCGCAGCAGGCGTTACTCCAGGGCGCAGGAGTGCAGCAACGGCGTCGAGGGCAGCTGCCACTGGTTCCTTCTGCTGTTGTTTGTCCTGCTGCTGCAGCGCACGTGTATGCTGCTGCAGCAGCGGGAAACGTCTGAGAGGAAAACACAAAGAAACCAGGTGCGCTGCTGCACCCAGGTCTTCACGGCTCCGCAGGCGCGACAGCAGCGCCACGGTGACGGCCGCACGCGGGTCGCCGGTTGGCAGCTGAAAACAAAAGACAAAGAGGGCACCGCAACACACGTGATGATGAAGACAACATTTCTCCAGGCTGCCTGCCCCTCCATCAGGCTTCTGCAGCAACTGCAGCAGCAACAGCCGCTCCAGCAGCAGCAGCAGCGGCAGCAGCAAACGCGCGAACGGGAGCGACAGCTGTGTTGATAGCAACAGCGGTGGACGCTGCAGCAAGGGCAGCACCAGCAGCTCTTACCCTGAGCGCATAGAGTTTTATAATCCGCATTGCGTCTCTCAGGTTGTAGACAGAGTCTGTGAGGCCTCTAAAGGGCCTCTCTGCCCCCAGCTGCCCCAGCAGGCGGACGCACCGCACAATGCATGCACTCAGCAGCATCAGCTGCTGCTCCCCTTGTTGCGGCCCTAGCTGTGGCACCATGGCGGCGCTCTGCGAGACCAGAGTCCGCTTCTCTGCTTCGCGCTGCTGCGCTTGCTGCTCCCCCTGGTGCTGCTGCTGCGACCGCTGCGGCAGCGGCTGCTGCTGCTGCTGCTGCTGGTTCTGTCGCGGCTGCTGCTCCTGCTCCTGTTGCTGCTGATAGTGGAGCCAGGTTAGTAGTTTGTGAGCAATGGCAACCATGTCTGCCTCAAGCATCTCATCCACCCTGACCCTGCAGAATCTGTTGAGAAGGGACTGAGGCAAACCCTTGCGGCCCTCCACTGCTCTGCTGCTGGCATTGTTGCTGCTGTCTCCCTTCCGTTTAGAGACAGAGGCAAGACGCGTGTGCTGCAGATCAGCGGGCAACCCCAGTCGACGCAGAGCCGCCTCTATCCCCACTTCTGTTAGCTCCTCCTCGTCTCCGCCGCTGCTCCCCTGCACACCTCCACGCCCTGTAGTTGCTGTTCCTGCTGCAGCTGCTGTTGTAGCGTGTGGGTTCTGCGTCGCGAAGAGCACAAATCCTGGTGGTGCGTACACTGCCGCATCCTTTTTTGTTGCTGCAGAGGAGGAGGAGGAGGAAGACTTGCTGCTGCGTGTCCCCGTCTTGTCGGCTACAGGGTCCTCAGGGGTGGGGAGATATATGCAACGGCGGTGGTCTAGGAGAGGGTTGAGGCCCTCTAGAGTTTGCTGCGGCGCTAAGTTCAACTCATCCAGCAGCACCCAATGCCCCGCCCGCAAACTGCGCGTCAAGACCCCGTCTGTCCACCTGAAAACGCACAGAAAACGCAGCTGAACGCGAGCCTTGCATGCATGCATGCATGCATGCATGCAGAAATGTCTGTGTTTCTGCATGCATGCATGCAGAAACACAGACAACGAGTCCACAGGCCCAAAGACGCATGCAATGGTGCAACACACACATGTACTGGTGCATGAGCCAGGCATGCAGAGATGCAGGCGAAGCCGTCTGCTCTGATGCATGCAGAAAGCAAGCGAAAACGCATGCACAGGCATCTGGCTGCTCTTGCAGAACCCCATATGAAATCACAGCTATCCTTGCAGCGACCGCAACAGAGAAAACCGCAGAGATTACTCTTCACTTGTATCTCAGCTGCCCGCACACCTTATAGAGATTCCTATGTGAACACACATATAACATGTACACACATATATCAAAATACTTACACAAAAGGCGGTTTCTTTCTTTCTATGGGTGGTGTCTGTGTGTTCTTGTCTGCTTCTCCTTCTAGCTGCTCCATCTGCTGCTGAATGTTGCAGGTGGTTTGTGTGTTGCTCTCATCGTCATCGAGGTCTGCTGCAGGTACAACAGCTCCCAACAAGTCCCCCAGCTCTGTGTCTTGGCTGAGGTTTATGCGCACCAGCTGCCGCCCGCATAGCCGAGCCAACAGCCCCACAACAAAAGTCTTTCCAGCCCCAGGGGGCCCCTCAAGGAGAACCGCATGCCGCCCTGAGCTGCTCCCCAGGCAGCCCCCAGGCTGCTGCTGCTGCAGCTGCTGCTGAAGCAGCAGCAAACAACGCAGCAGCCGTCCTAGAGACCTCCGTACTGAGGGTGACTGGATGACCTGCGGGAGCTCATCTACCGGCTGCAGCTGTTGCTTCTGCTGCTCTTGCTGCTGCTGCTGCTGCTGCTGCTCCACGTTTCTGCTTCCTATCACCTTATCAGATGCCTGCCTGAAAGCAGCAAGACTGAAGGGCCCCAACTGCAGCTGCTCCTCATCCTGTAGACTGCTACCAATGCGCCGAGCAGCAAAAGCAGCAGATACCCACGCGAAGCCCCCCTCGTCAAAGGCTGCGCACGTCTCTCTCCAGCATGGGCCTAACACCTCCTGATGGTTCTGCTGCTGCTCCTCCACCTGCCGCTTCTGCTGCTCCCCCTGCTGCCTCTGAAGGTCAGGGTATCTGTACAAGCCCAAGTCCCTGTAAAGGCCGCATGCATGCGTTTTGAGAAGCAGCAAGACCCCCAAATGGGGCCTTCGTGAGGGATGAGCAGCTGCCTCTGTAACTTGCTGCTGCAGCTGTTGTTGCAGCTGCTGCAGCCGCTTCTGTTGGTCCTCGCTCTCCAGCTGAGACCTGTGTGGTGCTGCAAGCGTAGCTAGGCTTGCCTCGACCTCCAAGTAGCGCTGCGCGAGAGCCTCCAGCTGTTGCTGTGGAAGCTGCATATCTGCTCCCACACCTAGGCCATCGAGAAGCAGCAGACAGCCGCCGTGCATCAACCCCTGCACTGCCCACCGAGCTGCTGCTGTTGCTGCTCCTTCTTTTGTTGGGTTTGAGGTTGCATGCAGCTGAGAAGCTACAAAACGATGAATGAAACAAATCCAGCACAAAGCATCACGGATAGAGAGCGGCTGCTTTATGTGCTGCCGCACCCACCTCAGCAGCAGCACCAGCCGGATAGCGATGCAGCTAAGGGGCTGGTCCTGCTGCGACCCGTCTGGTTGCTGCTGCTGCAGATGCTGCAGCTGCAGCAGCTCCTGCTGCATCTCGGTGCAGTCCTGTGGCTGCTCATGTTTCTTCGCGAGGGCTTCTGCTGCGTACGGCAGCTGCAGCCCGCGGAGACAGGTGTGCTGCAGCCGCTGCAGCACCAGCAGCACAGCATCTGGGGCCTCGAAGCTGAAGGCCGGTACATACACCTCTGTTAGCCTGTTCCTCAGCGCTGGGGAAAGCTCACGTTTGCCGTAGTCTCCTCCAGGATTCATTGTTGCAATAAAGCGAAACCCAGGTGCTGCGTGTACTTCCACTCCTTCTGTTGCTGCGGCAGCTGCACCTTGTGCTGTTGCTGTTGCTGCGGTGTTTGCGCTGCCATCCGCAGCAGCAGCAGCAGCAGCAGCAGCAGGAGCAGTGGAAACGGCACCTGCTGCAGCACCTTGTTCAGTGAGAAGTATGTGTTTTCCGTCCTCAAGAAGGGAATTAAGACGCTCCAGTACTGCATCTTGCCCCAGCGAGGCCTCATCCAATAGAAAGAGAGCTCCAGCCTTCATAGCTTTGATTAGGGGCCCATCTCTCCAACAAAACAAGCTGCGTGTCCTCTTGCATGCATCACGCCAAGCAGCACAACGCAGCTGCAGCTTCTCCGTATATGCTTTCACTATAGCTGCTGCAGCACCTGTTGCAGCACGCAGCCCAGCGACAGCAACAGCAGCAGCAGCATCCGCTGACACACTCGACGCAACCGCCTCCTCAGCTGATGCTACAGCGGCAGCAGCAGCAGCAACAGCAGCCACAAGAGCTTCTTTTGTTGCTGCAGCTGAACCAATGTCTGTTTCTGCGTCATTTGGGTTGCCGGTGCCTTCTGCAGCAACAGCTTCATGTACAGCGGCAGCTGCATCTGGTTCTCCCTGTCGAGCGCGTGCTGCAGCGTCTGCTGCTGTTGCTGCTGCAGCGTCTGCTGCTGTTGCTGCTGCAGCGGAGTCTGAGCTCAGGGATGTCCTCCTGAGCCTCTTCTGTGCTGCATCCTCAAACTCCTGCTGCACCGAAGCTGCTGTCTCTTTTGCTGCTCTGTTTCGTGTCCCCTTCCGCCTCTTCTTTCCTGCCAGCTTGCCCTCCTGCTGCTGCTGTTGCTGTTGCTGCTGCTCCTCTTGCTGTTCCTGATGATCCTGCTGCTGCGCGTGAAGTTGCTGTCTTCTAGCAGCATCAAAGAGGCCCTGTTCTTTCTTCTCTCCCTTTTGGGGCAACGGCTGCCGCTTCTGCTGCTCCTCCACCTGCTCTTGCTGCTGCAGCTTCTGCAGCAGCTGCTGGTGTTTGCTTTGTTCATGCTGTAGTGTACGTCTCGCTGTTTCTACCTGCTGGCTGAGTTCTGTCTTTTTTTGAGCGGCATCTGCTGCAGCTGCATCTGTCTCCTGCAGCAGCTGCTGCTGTGCCTGTTTGGCTGCCTTGCTAAGAGCCCTGAAAAAGAGGTTGGTGTCCTCGTCCCCCATCTCTAGTCCCCCCCTTTCCTTGTGGGCTCTTAGACAAATGACGACGTCTGCTGCTGCTGCCTGCAGCAGCTCGTAGAAGCGCAACACCAGACCACTGGTTCTCACACACTCCTCCTCAGACAAGTTGCCCCCTGCTGCTGCTGTTGATGCTGCTCCTTTTGCTGCTGCTGCAGTATGCCTCAGCTGCCGCCAGTTCGGTAGCAAGTCGTCAGGAGAAGGAGGCTGCTCGACCATGTGCAGAATCTCTTGCTGCAGTGCAGCAGCGTGATGCTGCTGCTGCAGCAGCTCGCCTTGATGCACAGGACTCATGCAGCCGAGTAGCTCAGAGGCTTCCATCTGTAGGTGACAGTTATAGACAAACATGCCATTGGGAGACAGACGCTGTACCAGCCCCCTTTCGAGCGCTGTCATATCCTCCTCCCCCTGCTGCTGCTGCTGCTGCTCCTGCCCATGTTGCGGTTGCTGCTGGTGTTGCTGCTGCTGCTGCAGCGTCCACGCAATCAACTCGCATACAGCAGTCTTGCCTGAGCCTGTGTCTCCAACAAGCAACAAATTTTCTTCCGCTACCAGCGCCCTCAGCGTCAAGCCTAGAAGCCTGAGGGAAGCAGCATTGAAGGAGAAGGGAAGGAAGGCGGGCAGCTCCGTTGCAGCAGCAGCAGCTGCTGTTGCAGTTGCTGCTGCAGTCGCTGCTGCTGCCTCAGCTTCCCTGCGCACAGCTTCCGGGGCCTCGCTCAGAGCAGCCGCGCGTGCGGCAGCTGCCGCTGCGTGTGCTGCTGCGTCTGCTGCTACTTGCTGCTGCTGCAAGCAGCGCTGAACCTTTCTGTGCAGCAGGCGACGAAAGGCCAAGACATATGGGTCTGTAGAGAAATTGACCTGCAGGTGTTTGGGTTTTGCTGGTGTTGACCCCAAGCAGTGACGCTCTAACGAAGCACGAACAACAGCTCTGTCTTCTTCTGTGCGGAGCCTCTCCCCCACCAGCAGCCAGCCCTCCAATGCCACCTCTTCAAAGGACATTGGCGCATATTCTTGCACCTGCTCCTGCTGCTCTTGCTGCTGCTTGCGTTGCTGCTGCTGCTGCTGCTGCTGCAGCATGTGCTGGAAGGGGGAATTCCCTACGCGGCGGCCCCATCTGATGAGGTCGCGGATCGTCATGAAGCCGTGCGCACCAAAGAAGACCTGCAGCACAGAAGCACAACAGCAGCAGCAGCAGCAGCAGCAGCAGTTCGAGGCTCCCCAAGGCTTTCTTCTGCCCCTTCACTCCTGTCTGCCTCTTTGGTGCTGCTGTCAGCAGCAGTATTCGCTCGCAGCAGGCGACGCTAGTGTATATGATAAGGAGAAGGGGGCAGGACAGCAGCAGAGAACGGGGCCTACAGAGCTGTTTGCGCGGCGCTGCTGCAGGTCCGTGTACACCCGAAGCATGGGCTCAACCCTCGAGAGCGGCAGACTGCAACGGGTTAGAAGGATTTGCCTGAGATCTTCTGTGGCAAACTGTGTCATCTGCATCTGCAAGAAGCGGTTCGCTAGCGCCCTGCTCAGTACCTTGCGGCCCCCATACACCCCAATGCCTGCAGGGTTCTGCGTCCCAAACAACTGAAAGTCCCTATGTGCCCTCACTACCTCCCCCGTTGCAGGCAGTATCAACTCGCGGTTGCTGTCCAGCAAACGGTTCAGCGCTGCATACACGTAAGCAGCAACAGCAGCAGCAGCAGCAGCAGCAGCAGCAAGAGCGCATACAGCTGCAGCGGTACCCGGGACCTCAATCGGCTCCATCCTTGAAACCCTGCACTAGGAATGGTCGTAGTAGTAGCAGCAGCACAACCAGCACCAGCAGCAGCACCAGCAGCAGCACCAGCAGCAGCACCAGCAGCAGCGCCAGCACCATCAGCAGCAGCACCAGCAGCACCAGCAGCAGCAGCAGCAGCCAGCGTGCGTTGCGTACCCTCTAGGACGTCGGAGGGGGCGAGGTTGAGCTCATCTATGAGGACCCACCAGCCGTGGCGGACTGCAAGGGTTAGGGGCCCCTCAGCAAAGACAAGTCTACCCTCAGCGTCTGGGGCATAGCTACCCACATAATCCTGAATATCTGTGTTTTCATGGTTGTTGATTCGAATGCACTTGTGGCCCGTTGCTGCTGCCAAAAAAGAAACCAAAGAAGTCTTGCCGCAGGACGTTGGCCCTTCTAGCAGCAGCGCGCAGCGGCTCCCGCTCAGAAGCCGCAGCACGCGGTGTACGTACACCTCGGAATTCGGCGTCAACACAAACCTCCTCTTCAGCGCATCCACGTCGATCGGCTCCCCCCCTACGCACCCACAAAGCAGACAGCGACAAACAAACCCCGCTACGCCACCACATACCCTCACTCCCTCTTGTCCTTCGGTTTCCCTCTATATACACATTGCATGAAATGTACAATTCCAGCTGTATATTGTGATGTGCTTATGTACATTCATACACACGCGCATGCACATTATCTATACATACACCTGAATATATATATATATATATATATATATATATATATATATATATATATATATATATATATATATATATACAACCGTGGTGACATGTATATGCAATGCATGCACTAGTTGTGAAGCCTCCGGACCTCTGCGGATAATAAATCCTTCAACTGCCACGTGGCCGTCTTCGCCTGGTACTGCAGGCAGCAGCTGGAGCTGCAGCAACTGCTGCTGCTGCTGCTGCTGCTGCCCACCACGAGCAGCTGGATTCCCCCTGGCAGGGGGATGCGGGGCGCCTTCTTTAAAGGCCTTTGTTAAAACCCTCTCAACTCTCGCGGCGCTAAGGGGGTTCAGTGAGGAGCCGAACAAAGCAAGGAAACCATCTTTCAATGCAGCACGAAGCTGCATGGGCCGCACAGGCCTGCGGGCCACAGCAGCTGCATGCAGCAGCGAACGTGAAAGTGTCCGCAGGGAGTAACATGGGGTTTTGTTGTTACCGTCTAAGAGCTGACCCGCCTCCGCAAGATATTTGAGGTGTACGTACACCTCAGCTACCAGCCGAGAAGGTGGATCAGCGCTCAAGGCCCGCAAATGGGCATCAACAACTGTAGTTATGTCCTCAAGGCACTCCGTCTCGTCTACATACAACTCCGTAAAACGCTGCCGCACTTCAGCAGGCAGTTCTCTCTTCCCCACACCCGCGGACGCATCTGAAACCACCTGCTTTTCTTGCTGCTGCTGCTGTTCCTGCTGCTGCAGGGCCTCGTCTGCGTCGTGGGGCTCCTGTTCGTCCTCAAAAGATAATTTGTGTTCCGCCATTCTGAGTGGCGGCGCGAGGATGGGGGGGTTCATACATGCAAAAACGCGAAAGTTCGGGTGTCTGTACACCCGGCGTGGCTTGCCCCCCTCGAGTAGCAGCAGCGGCTCATCTGGCTCCTCCAGCAGCCCCAGCAGCCGCTGAAGCAGATCAGGCGGAGCCAAATTTATTTCATCTAGCAGCAGCCACTTTCCCGTCCTCACTGCTTCGACCAAGGGGCCCTCAGTGAACACAAAATGCAGCTGACTTCGCCGCTTGAGGGCCCCCCCAGGTGCTGCAGCTGCTGCTGTTGCTGCTGCCTCCGACTCCTCACCAGCAGCAGGCAAGAACTTTCGTAAGCCGCAGGCGTCAACGAGGGAATCAAACTTCCGCGGTGTAGCCGCACTACAGTCGCTGAGGGCAGGGTCCTCCAATAGAGTAGAGAGAGAGGCCTGCAGCTCCGTACACCGTGCCATCAGCTCACCTGCTGTCACGCGCTCTCCCTGCTGTTCCTGCTGCTGCTTCTGCTGCTGCTTGTGCGGTGTGGTGCAGACCATTGGCAGCATGTTGCCACACTGCCGCAGCAGCTGCAGCAGAGCGCTGTTCGCTGCAGCAGCAAGCCTGAGCAGCGCTACGTACGCCTCTCGTTGCAACAAGCGGGAGCCCCCACGGGTCACCCGCACCATCATCTGCCTCATAGACTCGATGACGCTGGATCCTCGCCCCTTCTGCTGCTGCTGCTGCTGTTGCTGCTGCTTGCGTTTCTTGAGTTTGGGGGCATCGGCATCGCTGTCACCGTCTGGGGCCTCTGTTGCTCCTTCTGCTGCCGGAGCACCGAGCATCAGCGTGGCGTTCTGCAGCAGCTGACGCCACAAGTGCTCCGCCTCGTGGGGGGGGTGTCTCGGTACCCAGCGGCCAATGAGGTCTTCGCCTTCACTCTGTCGATGCAAATTCACAACAATAAGATCTCTCCCCAGTCGCTCGGCTAAGTAAGATACTATGAACGTCTTGCCTGCCCCCGTATCCCCCACAAACAACATTGGCTCCCCCGCATACAATGCAGCTCCTGCCTGCTGCACCAGCCGCAGCTGCTGCCCAGTCAGCAGAGCCGATCCTTCAGCATCCTCCTCCATACCCTCAGCAACAAAGCCAGCTCCTGCTCCCGCTGCTGCAGCTGCTGCTGCCTCTGGGTCCCCCCCCAGTGCGAGAATGTCATCGTCAGCCGTATCGGTGTTGTCGCTGGGGGGCCCCTGAGGGGTATTCAACTTGGGCAAGAGATACGGCCCCACCTGAAAGGCCTCTGGCGTCTCGCGCAGCATCGGCCTCTGGCTGAACAGCAGGGCCTGCACCTGCTCTTCATGCACATCCCACAAAGCAGCAAAGGCGACAGCAGCACGCAGTCGCAGCATTCTATCACTTAGGTGACCCAGCAAGACTGCTGCTGCCTCTTCTACTACTCGTAGCCTCAGCCGCTCAGTCAGAAACCCCTCAAAGATACTCGTACTGTTGCTGCTGCTGCTGCTGCTGCAATTGCTGTTGCTGCTGTCAGCTGCTAGCACCTGCAGCCGTCTACAGAGTTTCACAAAGTCCCTCAGCTGCGGCAGGCGGGCCGCCTTGGGCGGTGGCAATCCCGGCCTGGCGAGGCCTGCTGCTGCAGTTGCTGCTGCAGCATTGAAGGCCTTCTGGAGCCTCGAAGCAACAGGAGCAACTGCGGGAAAAGAATGAACAACAATCTGATGAATGTCTGCTGCTGAAGGAGGGGGCACGTGCAGCAACACCCAGGACTCTAACAGAGGTGACAGAGGAGGCGGCGGAGCCGTCAAGGCCACATCAATACACTCGTCTCGTCGCTCTTCAGTTGTACTTTCATCTGCTGCTGCTGTTGCTGCTGCTGCTGCTGCTGCTTTGCGACGTTTGCTGCTGCGAACATGGCGCTCGGGTGTTGCTAGCGTAGCGAAAAGGGCAAAGTCTGGGTGTACGCGGAGCTCCTGCTGCTGCTCGTGAACTGTCAGGCAACCTGTTGCTGTGAGGCCGTGCAGCAGCGCATGCACGTCCTGTGCCAGCTGCTGCAACTGCTCTATCACTATCCACCGCCCCTCTCGCACGCAGCGCGTCAGGATCCCCTCCTGCCACTCAAACTCGCCAGCTCGCCGCCCACAGACCCACGACCCTGCAGTCAATGCAAAACAGCAGCAGCAGCAGCAGCAGCAGCAGCAGCACGCATGCATGCATTATGCATACCCCTAAACGCAGCAACTGCCAGGCACCGGTTGGCCTCTAAGCCCGACCAACAGAGAAGAGCAACGCCCGAGCATATGACCTGAACTCGACTAAACTATCACAGCTGAGGCTGTGGCTCTGGCTGTCGGCGGCTGGCAACCCCCCGGGGGCCCTACACTTCCCTCAGAAAAAACTACGTAGTATATATGCACCAAACAAAACATATGCACAGAACATCAATCAGGCTACGTGGCGGCAGCAGGGTCTAGGCTTTCATAGTTTAGGGTGGATAAAGGAAGTGCTTGTGAGTTCGCCTCACCGACAAGGTCCTTAGCTTCTGTTTGTTGGTCTAGAAAGAGACTGACAGGCGGCCTCGACATTCCTACGGTTTGAGCCAGCCAGCGTATATATGAACTCTTCCCGCTACCCGGCACGCCGTGCAGCAGTACGGGGGGCCTCACACCCCACCTCCTCGAGTTGTAAGCCCACAACAACTTCTGTATCAGCCTGCATGCCAGTGGTGTTGGCACCAAAGGCAGCAGCGAACTGCTTTCCCCCCAGCATACATTCTCTGTGTGTTTCTTCCTCACACCTAGAGGAGCGATGCAACGCCCCTCAAACGCTGTAGCCTCTTCTGGCCTCGGAGCTTGTAAAGAACCTGAAAAAGATTCCCCAGAAGCAGACGTGAACAACGCCCCCGTACGTTGCATAGACGATGTAGCTGCTCCATCTGTTTCAACTCTACCAGCTGCTTCACTCGGTGCAGCTGGAGCAGCAGGTGGAGCTGCTGATGGCGTTTCAGGTGAAACTACAACAGATTCTGCAGCAGGCATTGCAGCTGCATCTGCTGCTGCAGTTGCTGCCGCTGGTGCTGCAGGTGCCGCTGCTGCGGCCTTAACGCTTGACTTCGCCCTGCGCCGAGAACGGCAGGACTTCTGACTGGCAACGGGCTGGGGCACCATTTCGAGGATCCCCCAGAGCACGTTCAAACGAATACAAGTCAACTGCAGGCGACGCCGTGGCGCGGCAACGAAGAAGCATCTGTTTCAGAGCCTCACCATTGCTGCTGCAAATATCCACTGTTCCTATGCCAGCGGCTAGTGCCGCAGCAACAGTATAGCAGCAGGTCACAGCCTGCTGATGACACAGCTCTGAGTACTCCTGCTGCTGCTGCCTCCTTGCAGAAGGCAACTGTTTAACACAATACTACGCGCGTAGTAGTAGTAGATGGGTTCCCGCACGCCAGTAGAAACTGAGCGGGACAAGGAAACCGGACACGACTTAGCAGTATATAAATATTTCCAGCAATTTTTGTCTATAAAATGACTTAAAAAAGTGACTTTTGGGGGGAGGAGCTAGAGAAGAAGGTGTTGGTTAGCTGGAATAGCTGCAGGGCCTAGCAACGATGCACTGCCAGCAACACCTGACGAGGCTTATCTACCACCCCATCCAATGACATAGAGGCGTCACAAGTAAAACAAGAATCAATTTAAATCGAAATCCCCTGAAACGAGGGGAAAAGTAAAATATTTTATGTTCTCGTCGCCTCATCGGAATACTCATCGGGGCTGTGGGGCGGGTTGGGGGCCCTGATCTTGCAGACTTTTTCAGTTTTACATTTAGATATTTTTTTCGTATTCTACCTATGTTATTCAGTTTAGCTATTTTTTGCAATTTTAACTCAAGGAGAAACTGAGGGGTTAGAGTACGAACGCCTTCTGTGTAAGGCCGCGTCAGTGCAACGCCTTCACTGGTAAGGGATTTCGGCAGCGGCCCATACCCAGTCTCAAGGATAGCTCGCAACGGCAAAGCTTTCTTATTCAACGAATGAATTCAATATTTTAAATGATTTTCGTAGATATAATGAACGAACACGTCGTTCAAGCCGATATGTGTGTGGTGGTGACGGGTTCTATTCCGTCCGAATCGAATCTGAGGCGTAAAGAACTCTCAATGGGAAAACAGTTCTGCTAAAGTGAAATAGAAAAGTAAACTCCGCTCAGTGTTCTTTATAAGTGTTATTTTCGCAGTTGTGAGAGTGTTCATGCGCTTATATGCTGCGGTGTACGCGCCAGCCGTATACTTTTGCAGCTCTGCACACACATTCATGTTACGATGCGAATGTGAAGGTTATCACGAGAAAGCAGTAATTTGACTTTTCAAAAGCCATGCGGGTTTCGGGTTTATCGTCGTTTTGCACTTCGGCATTTCTCGTTATCTTTTTGTGCTGCAACATTTCGTGTACCTCCGTCCGGCTGCACCAGGCCGCCGATGCAGAGGATGAGGAATTGAGTGTAAGCTGCCCAGTTCACTCCATACTACTGCTGATCCTCATTAAAATAAATGAGTGCACAGGAGGAGGAAAAGGAGGATGACGTAGAAAAAGTGGCTGAGGAGCTTGAAGAGCAAACGAGGAGGTGATTTCCATTGGCAGTGTACCTCTTTCATGAATCAGTTTCACCGCGAGACGCAGAGATAGTGCACTGGAACTAAAACTCGAGCATGCCAGGGAGCTGGCTGAGGAAGCAGAAATAGCAGAGGTAAGAAAGAGGATTTGAAAGCTGCCGTTGCTGTTCACTGACTCTGGGATGACACTCACAACAGGAAAATGCAGAGGACGCGGTGGCCAAAGCAGCTCTAGAAAAGGAACAAAAAGTGCAAATACCGAAACTACAATTCAAAGGAAACAGAAATTGAAAGCTTATTTCTATGTTACATTACAGGACCGAGCGGAAAGCCCAGATAGAAAGCTAGAAGCCATGATGCAAGAGCTGATCAATGTGTGTAACGCATCCCGTTGAGTATCCGTGAACATAAATATAATTATTTATCTGAATCAGGTTGCATACAAGTTGAGAGAAGTGAATCAGGTATTTTTATTCATGAATTTTCGTCTTTTTTCCGTTTTGCCGTTCAAACGCTCCGTTCAGAAACTGGCCATCCTCGACTGACCGGAACAATGGACCGTGGAAATTGAGAGTTTTTCCGTGAAATTATTAATTCAGAGAATAAAAAAAAAGAGTTTCTTCACTTTTAGTCGTATTATGCTGACTTTGTGTGTTAGCGGTCCTCCTGTCGATAGCTTCTTCTTGCATCGACCCAACGGCCCGAGCGTCAGCTATGAGCCACCCCAGGGGGAACGTCAGCATATCCCCCTTTATACATTGAAACTACAGCAATTAGAATTAATAGTCTGAATTTAAAAAATATTAAGCTCTGTTGCCGAGGATATATATGTTACGATCAGATGTGTATGAGTCCCGTGAGCCGCAGGACTGACGGGGAAGCATGCGCACCCTGCTCGGAAACTTCCTACACTACACAAAACTAATTAAACTAGTCGTTTAATACTAATTCATTCTTCTGATCTCGCAAGCTAGTTTTATGATGGATCCCTCTTAATGGGCTGAGCCGTTGCAGTAGTGGACATTGCCCGCTCAGCCCCGCTCTTGTCGGTGGCGGCGTTTCGTACACCAGGCAGTTAGATATATATTAGTTAAGAAATGGATTGAAACCCGAAATTATATGCAACAATTGAAGATGGATGTTCCTGCTAGGCTGGCTTTTTATGTGTCGTGGGATGCCTCGGGCACTGGCGATATAAGAGAGCTAATACTGGTGTACTACACTGGCGATAGCACAGCCGAGTTGAGAAACGTCCAGAGCAGCAGTGTAAACTTGAAACGCGTGATAGTTCCCCGACGTATTGCTCATTCTTTTTATCCTGGGGCTCAACTTGTGCTATTTTCACGGCACCTGCGTATCGAGGATGCAGCCAATGAACAAACGGCGGCTTTCCTTGCGCGTTCCATGGAGCCAGCCCTGTGCATATGGCGCACAGACGACACACACAAGTATGCAGAAACCCTGCAGGGCCTCTTAGACTCGGGTCTTATCCTGACGCACTGCAGAAAGCTGGAGATCGATGGGCCGTTCGGCGAGCTTCTCGAGGCTCAAGCTCCGCAAGTAGTCATGCACGGCGACTCTTCTGTTCTTTCCTCATCGGCGGTTTCTGTTTTTCTCTTACGGGGAGTCAACGCTGCCCATAAGTACGCATGACTCCTGCTTTTTTGGGTTTCACTCTGAAGTGGCATTTGTTTCAGTTTGTTTGCATTGGCTAGCAGCAACCCGTTTCTATAACTTCTCTAGGGCCCCCTTTCTCCCGGTTTCTTCTGTATAAGTGGATACATGCTGGGTGTTCACACAGTTTATAAAGGGATCCTGATGAAGGCTGCTTAGAACTTGATGCTGCAGCTTGCCCTGTTGTTGCTGTTTGCGTGTATTCTCTCCTTTAGGGTCCACTCTCTAGCAGCCGCGGGGAGGGAGCTGCTAACCACCTCAGCAGACACTCCGTCTGAAGCGGTGGAGGATTTGGGGGTGGGGTTGTGCGAGAAGGTAACAGGGAATCCTGACGCTGCTGCTGCTGCTGCTGCTGCTGCTGCTGCAGCAACATCTACTGCAGAGGGGGCGGAGGTCACCTGCTGCGTGATAAAGCCTCACGCACTGCAGCAGACTGGCACTGTCCTGCGAGAGCTCATCAGCAGCAACTTTCGTATCCGCAACATGCAGAGTTTCCGCCTAACAAGCGTGGCGGCGCACGAGTTTCTGGAGATATACAACACAGTCATCAAGGAGTATCCTCAAGTAAGAAAGAAGTTCACTTCATCTCGCCTCCTTCACTGCGATGACGAGGTCAACTGCCACTGAATACTTAACCTGCTGCTGCTGCTGCTGCTGTCGTGTTCCCTGCTGCTCCTGCTGCTTGCTGCAGATAGTGGAGGAAATGATAAACGGAACGGTGCTGGCTATACAGCTAGAAGGACCCGATGCAGTTGCCCGCCTCAGGCGCCTCGCAGGCACGCACACACGCCCAGCTGTCACTGCTAGCAATATATAAGATGGCTCAGCAACAGCAGCAGCAGCAGTAGCAGTAGCTGTGTTGCTCTCACTGCTAGAAGCAGCAGCAACAGCAGCAGCAGCAGCACGAGTGACAACAGCAGTTGCAGAATATATCAGAGCAGCGACGCTAACAACAGCAGCAGCAGCAGTATCCGTAGCAGCAAAGGCAGTAGTAGCTAGCATATATTCATTATCTCAAAGAAGCCTATTAAGCCTTAGCCTGATGGTGTGGCGGTGTTATACCGCCAAAAATGTCAAAAGGATTGCAGTGTTTGCGGGATTAGCAGCGAAGTTGTGAGGTGTACGTACACCTGAGTGCGTGCGTCTGCGTTGATATGCAGGGCCTTACGACCCAGAGCTCTGCCGCTGCCTCTATCCCTCAACACTGCGAGCAAAGCTGGGAGCAGATATCCCCCGCAATGCCCTGCACTGCACTGACTTGGCTGAGGACGGGGCCCTCGAGTGTTCTTACTTTTTCCAGCTCATGGCCCCCCACAACTCACCCACAACACACATATGCACTCTCCCCTCTACCAAGGCAACCATAGCCTGAAACCCAAAAATAAAACGGGGTCACACATGCGCCCAGCATGCAGCCAAGGAAAATGCATCCATGCATGCATGCATGCATGCATGCAGAGAAGAAGATGCATGCAAACACCCCCCGCCCCATGCACACATGCAGCAGCCCGTTGCATGTGTTCAACCGCCGCGGACTATCATTAGCTGTACGGAACGCCTCGAGCCCCCCGGGGGTGCCCAGGGGGCCCCTCGGGGGCCCCTGGGGGCCCCCTGGGGGCCCCGTGGGGGCCCCCCGTTGTAGCCGTATACGCCTCTGACGGGCCCCTGCGGGGCCTATATTATGTACGGCGTGGCCGAGGAGTATGAGGCGAAGGAAGGCTACACCATGAAGCTCTTGCCGCAACCGCAGGACTGTTTTTGGTTGGGGTTGTTGAATACGAATCCTGTTTGTACGTCTTCATCAACAAAGTCAATTTGGGTGCCGATGAGTAGCATCACGGCATCTGCAGCAACACGGATCTCTACCCCATCTATCCTTACTACTTCGTCTTCTCCCCAGTTTCTACCCCGGCGGCTCGGCACCTTCGCAGCCCCAGAAGCTTGAGAAGATCCTCCTGCAGCAGCATCTGCTGCTGCAGCACCTGCTGCAGCACCACCTGCTGCAGCAGATGCTTCGTTACGCTCAGGCCGCCGCTCTGTGCACAGAGTCACGTCGTACGCCATGCCGCTGCAGCCCTGTCGTTGCAGGCTGATACGAATCCCTGTTGCCTTGAGGGGAGGTTCCCCGTCTCGCTGCTGCTGCTGCTGCTGCTTCTGCTGCTGCTGCTGCTGCTGCTGCAGGGCGTCGTTGTAATCCTTGACCAACTTCTTTATGTGCCCAACTGCTGCCGGCGTTGCAGACAGCAGAGGCGGCCGTCCTCCAGCAGCAGCACCTGCAGCAGCTGCAGCAGGAGCAGCACGATCCCCAGGCAGACCCCTAGAAAACCCAGCAAGCGCAGCAGCAACTGCCTCCCGAGAACGAGGCCCATACACCTCACCAAACTCGGTCGAAGTGCTGCTGCTTCTGCTGCTGCATCTGCTGCTGCTGATGCTGCTGCTGCTGCTGCTGCTGTTTCTACTCGGCACGGCCCTGGCAAGGGGCGTATGTGCAGCAGCAGAGAACCCCTGGAAAAGCCGAATTTGTATATCTCCCAGCCGTGGATACCGCTGGCCCCTTAGTGTATACTGATGAGGAGCTGTGCAAGTATAAACCCACCGCCCCCCTGTGATTCCTTTGCTGGGTATACAGCAGCATATCTCTTCAGCTGAGCTGCATAAGTGCTGCTGAAAAATTCCCCAATTTAACTCGTTGATATCTGCTGCTGCTGTTTCTACTGCTGCTGCTGCTGATGCTGCTGCTGTTGCTGCTGCTGGTGCAGTAGACTTACTCGGACTGTAACAAACTCTCTTGGCACACGCACTGCCACAACCCCTCGCTGCTGAGCCCTGTAGAGGCCTAGGGGCCCCGCAGCGGATGAATTCCTTCGCAGCGAGACGCACGAAGCCTACTGCAGGCAGCATCTTTGGGTGAAGACCGCAACACATGCACGGCTCGCGGATCCACAGAAAAAGAAAGTGTAAATGTAGGGTTTAGCATCTATGATCTAGGACAGAAACATGCATACAAGGCGGGAGAACACTTGAACTGCAGGCGGCTGCGAAGGGTCGTAAGCCCCCTGCGGTTGAGATGACGAAGAAACCAGCAGAAAGCACATCGTTTGCTGTTGCTCTACCAACGGCAGGGCCTCAGAAGCTGCACTGCAGGGGTATTAGAGAGCCCTCGCTGCAACCGCAGCAGCAACTGCTGTTCTCCTCGGCCAAAACTAACACTAGAAGCTGCATCCGTAGACCCGTATATCCTAGGAACAACGCCGGCGGGCGTGAGCAGTGGTTATGTGTCTCTGCAGTTCAGCGTTCAGAACCAAAAAAGCTAGAGAAAGCAGAAATAAACAAAAGCAGAAAAGCGGTATAGTTAAGCTGCAAGCTCTCGCTCTTAGAGCTACTAGAAGGCGTTGCGTTGCCTGCTACCAATTCCGGCACTGAGGCATGCAAGCAGAGGGGTGTTTATGCTGATCAATATACACCTACGGGATCAAAGTGGAATTAAATGAAAGCCCAAAACGACAATAAGACATTAGGAAAGAAGAAGAAACTAAAATTCAGAAAAAAAACAAAGAAATGCAACACCGAAGTGGCATCATACGAGGCGGCTGCAGTCCCCGCGCAGCCCCAGAAAAAACCCATATGAATCACGCAAGCACCATCAATAAAGTAACCATATATTTCACATATTTTTTTATATTTTACATGCTTTACAAATATTTTAATTAAGCTGATCATCAATTTCCCCGTAGGAAAACAGCGCTGTGCTGATGCTACCTGGGCGTGTCGAGGATTCATGTTTCAGGTTTCAGGTTTCAGGTTTCGCGTTTGCCGTTTTTATGTGACGAGCGCAGTTATCCTTAGCAGCAGAACATCAGTATTAGCAACATATTCAAAATAAATAAAAAGATAATCCCCCCAAAGCATACGGTACCTTCTCGTCTCTCATGTTCTAGCATCGTCTGTTTGTGTATGAATTCAGAATGCTTTCTTTTCTGCTTGCTTGCAAGCCCCATACAAAAGGCCATATAAGTGATCAACTATCCTCTGAACAGAACTTGTATGCATCAAAAGTAAGCCAATGTATATAGGCGTTCAGGGTCGTCTTGCAGTACTAGTTACAGCGGCGTATATATTGTATGAGAAATAGCACCAAAAGGAGGTAGAATATAAATATATACTCTCGCGTGTTCAACAAACCAGAATATATATTTTTAAAATACTGGGTATTTATAGACCTTCTCTTTTCTGCTTTATATACATCAGCTCTGTTCGTGATCTCTGCAGTGTGGCCGCAAGGTTATTTACTTTTTATGAATTCTCCTCTTACAGTTGCATTTTATGAATTTTTATCAAAAGAATACACACCAAAGGCAGCATATATATATATATGCTATATATATATATATATATATATATATATATATATATATATNTTTTTTTTTTTTTTTTTTTTTTTTTTTTTTTTTTTTTTTTTTTTTTATACACTCAGTAGCACCGCACCGCTGTGCAGGGCATAGAGAAAGCAAAGCCACCCCCACTGCTGTCATGCCTGATGTAACCTAGCAATCAATATTAGTGGTTGCATTCAGAAAAAGAAAAGAATAAATATATATATATTTATTTTTCCCCTCGAAACAATTCCTCTGAAACGGAGCCCTTTTCTCCGTTCGCGTGATGAGGGTTTCTGTGGGGCATCGCTGCGCTGTTTCAGCTCTCCCAGTAGCAGTAGCTGCAGCAGCCGCTGCTGCAGCAGCTGCTGCTGCCAGGACCACTAGTTCAGCAGCAGCAGCTGCTGCTGGTTTAGTACTCATCTGCGGTAGTAGCATTGTGAGCGTAGCAGCTTCTGCTGCAGCTGCTGCTGCTGCATCCACGTGATTCATCGTCAGCCTGTGCGCTGCAAGTTAAGCTGCTGCTGCTGCCGCAGCAGCAGCAGCAGCTCTAGAGGCAAAATAATAAGCAAAGAAGTGCTGCGAAAACAAAATAAAAAGATGATCAGTCAATAAGCGTTATGTTCCTCTATGGCAGCTCACCGGCAGCAGCTAATCCAATGTAAGCAACAAAACAAATTCCCTGCATAGTGAAGCCTCGCTGCTGCTGCTGCAGGCCTCGCGCTGCTGCTGATGTAATGATGTAATCGTTGTTGGTATTCTCGTTGTTGGTGTTTCTAATTTTGCTTTTGGCTCTGTTGCTGCTGCCTGAATATACACCGGGGCTGGGCCGACAAGCATCTACAGCAGGTTGCGAAGCACCTGTGTGGTTTGTCCCGCCTGCCTGCTGTGGCTGACCTAGCTATCACAGCAGCAGCAGCAGCAGCAGCAGCAGCAGCAGCAGCAGCGCGGTGCTGCTCGAGGGCATACGTAACATTTTCTGTGTTGTAGGCCGGCATCGTATCCTTACCCATGTAACCGCTGGGTATGCAGGGGCATGTAAGTGTTCATGAATTTCCTAGAGTATCAAAGCATACAGCTGGTGGTTTTTGTTATGCTTGCCCGCGGCGTCGGCTTGCAGCACGAGCTGCAGCGGGGTGTATTTGTAACGCTGGTTCTCCGGCCTTAACCTGACCGGAGACGAGCCGCAATGAAGGCAAAGACTTAAAGTA